GCAGTGTAAAGGATTAAACAGATATATGAAGTCCAAGTTATGAATTGCAGTGTAAATAGATGTATGTCATTGGAATTACCTCCAAATTATGCTATGGAAAATGCAGATTTTTTTTCTTTGACAAAGTATTGGAATTGGATTTATTTTTAAATTAGAACATAACTAGGTCAGACATTAATCACTGCCTTCATCCAAACCAGTGAAGAGGCTGATTGTATATAAGCAAGGGTAAAATAGGGAACTCAGAGGAGAATAAGCTATCACGTCACATTTTTACTGGCTTGTCATTAACCGCATAGAGGGTAAGGGTGGTGTTTTGAAACGCATGTATAAACTACAAGGGTATGTAGTGAAATTTCGGGTTATCAATGAAATATAACCTAAATCTAGCGTATGTCAATAAAATTTATCCAATTATTTATCAATGACCAAAGAATATGAACTTTTTACATATAATTATCACAAATTAAATTATAATCAAATTACTTTGTATCGATTACCAATATTAGTAATTGACGACTACACAATTCAAACACTTTAAAATTTACCTCAAATAAGTTAAAAAATAATAACAATCATTTTTAGGTCATTATGTTTTGACATGAAGATTTTGTACGATTTGGACAAGACATGGTCTCGAAGATTGAAATGGTTCATGCCTCAAGCCAGCTAAGCATTTCCCATTATAACAACAGGAAGAACCCAAAACAAGCGGTTCTAAACAAATATCACGTGACTCAAAAAATTTAAACTATTAAAGAGGGTATAATCCCTTTCATGTTGAGGCTAAATTTTAGACCTAATAGGCAAAAATCTTCTAATAATTATGATGGCGACGAGATTTGAACACAGACCTTACTCTAATACAATGCTAAACATCTATTTACTCCAAAATTTTAAGCTATTAGAGAGGGTATAACTTAACTATTACAAACAGTACCTCCAAGTGATGGTCACCATGCTCATATATCTGGTCATCTTCCACTATGATAGACCCAAAAAGTTCTTTCAAGCTGCCGCTACATGTATTTTGTGGCACTCATTAGTCATAATGCAAAACATCAGATAATTCTTAAAACAACCCAAACTACAACCATCTTATTTTACAATTTACACCATAAAAAAAAAAAAAAAAAAAGTGCAGTGCACCACTGCAAACTGCGGAGAGGGTCAGATTTACTCGGTCTTACCCCATAAAATGTATAATACAAATAACCACCAACTTTCNAAAAAAAAAAAAAAAAAAAAAAAAAAAGTACAGTGCACCACTGCAAACTGCGGAGAGGGTCAGATTTACTCGGTCTTACCCCATAAAATGTATAATACAAATAACCACCAACTGNATTCTTAGAGTTTCTTACAAAAATATTTAGGGCCCCAGAGTTCGAACTGATTTTTTTATCTTGCCCAATGTTTATTGTATACAAAAAATATGTGTTAACACCAAATAATATATTTTTCTACTTTATTATCAAATTTATGATTTAATTATTTTTATAAAACGCACAAAATGACTATAGAATAAATTGAGTAGAAGTACATAACTATCTGAAATTAATTGTACCATAGTTGCCTTACTAAATTTTTTTGTTAAAACATTTCTTTGGTTCTCTACTATATTAACTCACAAATTTTAACTTTTACATTTTTTAAAAAAAATTATTTTATTAGCTAGTATAAATTTTTATTCTTTTTCTATTTATCTTCAATAAATAACTAGTTTAATTACATTTGGTCGAGGACTTGACTTTTGTTAATTGAATTTTAATGTATAAAACTCGAATTCAAAAATTCAATTAAGATTTCTGAATCTCAAAAAGGCAAAAGAAAAAAAAAAGAAGTTAAATAACCACAATCAATTTTTGATAATTATTTGCACTATTGTAAAATATATTAATAGGGCCTAATTTAAAATTTTTCACCTAGGACCCTCATATATGTCGTGTTGTCCCTGCCCTTAATATTTGTTTTGTCATTTTTAATTTAATACCATATACTATTACTTAATCCAAACACAAATTTTGTATTATAATTATAGATTTATATATTATCCCAACTTTGATCCAAACTTATTATACAAGGATATGATTAAATAATATTCTTGTTAGCACTATTTTATAGATTGGATGAAAATTAATTATCAAATCTCATTTTTTATTTGTACTTGAACCAAACGTGCCGCTTGTTTTGATGGGTTTAAGGATATTGGCTACTTTTGCAGCTTCCTTCATTGTAGAATATGCTTCATCTGTCATTATAAGCAAGCTGCGGAAGGAAAAATCAATTACAGCAGCCCAAAGAACACACAATAACCACTTGGCTTTAACAGTTATGAATTGCAGTGTAAATAGATGTACGTCATTGGAATTACCTCCAAATTATGCTATGGAAAATGCAGATTTTTTTTCTTTGACAAAGTATTGGAATTGGATTTATTTTTAAATTAGAACATAACTAGGTCAGACATTAATCACTGCCTTCATCCAAACCAGTGAAGAGGCTGATTGTATATAAGCAAGGGTAAAATAGGGAACTCAGAGGAGAATAAGCTATCACGTCACATTTTTACTGGCTTGTCATTAACCGCATAGAGGGTAAGGGTGGTTTTTGAAACGCATGTATAAACTACAAGGGTATGTAGTGAAATTTCGGGTTATCAATGAAATATAACCTAAATCTAGAGTATGTCAATAAAATTTATCCAATTATTTATCAATGACCAAAGAATATGAACTTTTTACATATAATTATCACAAATTAAATTATAATCAAATTACTTTGTATCGATTACCAATATTAGTAATTGACGACTACACAATTCAAACACTTTTAAATTTACCTCAAATAAGTTAAAAAATAATAACAATCATTTTTAGGTCATTATGTTTTGACATGAAGATTTTGTACGATTTGGATAAGACATGGTCTCGAAGATTGAAATGGTTCATGCCTCAAGCCAGCTAAGCATTTCCCATTATAACAACAGGAAGAACCCAAAACAAGCGGTTCTAAACAAATATCACGTGACTCAAAAAATTTAAACTATTAAAGAGGGTATAATCCCTTTCATGTTGAGGCTAAATTTTAGACCTAATACGCAAAAATCTTCTAATAATTATGATGGCGACGAGATTTGAACACAGACCTTACTCTAATACAATGCTAAACATCTATTTACTCCAAAATCTTAAGCTATTAGAGAGGGTATAACTTAACTATTACAAACAGTACCTCCAAGTGATGGTCACCATGCTCATATATCTGGTCATCTTCCACTATGATAGACCCAAAAAGTTCTTTCAAGCTGCCGCTACATGTATTTTGTGGCACACATTAGTCATAATGCAAAACATCAGATAATTCTTAAAACAACCCAAACTACAACCATCTTATTTTACAATTTACACCATAAAAAAAAAAAAAAAAAAAAAAAAGTGCAGTGCACCACTGCAAACTGCGGAGAGGGTCAGATTTACTCGGTCTTACCCCATAAAATGTATAATACAAATAACCACCAACTTTCAACCGATTCCGATATTTCTGCAGTTATAGAAGAATAACATACTGTATGCCAGCGATCATTCTGTCTATCAAGGAAACATTCCTTCGAGAAACTCATCAAAGTTTTCCTCCTCCTCAATCTTTAGGTTACCCGCAGAAGTTGATTCTTTTCTTCCTACAAAATAGGTAAAAGCAGTGTAAGCATTATGCAAATGATAAATGACGAGTCAAGCAGCATTGGGAGGATTCCATTCAAAACTACAGAAAGGAACCGGTCCTTATAGAGTAGGGCTGTGTCTAGATCTGTGAACCAAGTTTAAACTGCACTAGAATGCCCATAAGAAGCCAATATCCTCCATGGAAGCTCTTTAACTTTGAGGAATTAAAGCTGAGCTAGAGTCCCAGTCTGATGTAAGATCAAAGCTTAATTTTATAGTTTAGCAGCTAACTAGCCTACTAACTAGTATCACGATGAATATGGAAATACTAGACATAAATTATGTGGACTATAGTATTTTTTGTCAAAGAATACAATACTCCCAGCTTGGCCTGTCAATGGATCAAATTTTGATCCAAATCCAACCCAAATTTGAATCCTATTAAGTGGACAAGGATTGTTATTTTTTACTGATAGTCCAACTCAAAATCCAAATCTGTTACACCATATTTAATGGATTCGGATTTGTATATGCCAATATCCAATCCGAATATAAATGCATAAATGTATGATGAAATTAAGCTATTATTTGAGAAAAATTGTATTGAAATTTAGATGTAATTTGCTAGAATACCGCTTAATTCAGTTATTCAGATCAGGTATCTAATTCTTAGCTGATTCAGATATGACCTATGAAAATAAAATCCGTCGGATGATTGGATCCTAGTCAGAACTTTTTAATCGGANAACCCAAAACAAGCGGTTCTAAACAAATATCACGTGACTCAAAAAATTTAAACTATTAAAGAGGGTATAATCCCTTTCATGTTGAGGCTAAATTTTAGACCTAATAGGCAAAAATCTTCTAATAATTATGATGGCGACGAGATTTGAACACAGACCTTACTCTAATACAATGCTAAACATCTATTTACTCCAAAATTTTAAGCTATTAGAGAGGGTATAACTTAACTATTACAAACAGTACCTCCAAGTGATGGTCACCATGCTCATATATCTGGTCATCTTCCACTATGATAGACCCAAAAAGTTCTTTCAAGCTGCCGCTACATGTATTTTGTGGCACTCATTAGTCATAATGCAAAACATCAGATAATTCTTAAAACAACCCAAACTACAACCATCTTATTTTACAATTTACACCAAAAAAAAAAAAAAAAAAAAAGTGCAGTGCACCACTGCAAACTGCGGAGAGGGTCAGATTTACTCGGTCTTACCCCATAAAATGTATAATACAAATAACCACCAACTTTCAACCGATTCCGATATTTCTGCAGTTATAGAAGAATAACATACTGTATGCCAGCGATCATTCTGTCTATCAAGGAAACATTCCTTCGAGAAACTTATCAAAGTTTTCCTCCTCCTCAATCTTTAGGTTACCCGCAGAAGTTGATTCTTTTCTTCCTACAAAATAGGTAAAAGCAGTGTAAGCATTATGCAAATGATAAATGACGAGTCAAGCAGCATTGGGAGGATTCCATTCAAAACTACAGAAAGGAACCGGTCCTTATAGAGTAGGGCTGTGTCTAGATCTGTGAACCAAGTTTAAACTGCACTAGAATGCCCATAAGAAGCCAATATCCTCCATGGAAGCTCTTTAACTTTGAGGAATTAAAGCTGAGCTAGAGTCCCAGTCTGATGTAAGATCAAAGCTTAATTTTATAGTTTAGCAGCTAACTAGCCTACTAACTAGTATCACGATGAATATGGAAATACTAGACATAAATTATGTGGACTATAGTATTTTTTGTCAAAGAATACAATACTCCCAACTTGGCCTGTCAATGGATCAAATTTTGATCCAAATCCAACCCAAATTTGAATCCTATTAAGTGGACAAGGATTGTTATTTTTTACTGATAGTCCAACTCAAAATCCAAATCTGTTACACCATATTTAATGGATTCGGATTTGTATATGCCAATATCCAATCCGAATATAAATGCATAAATGTATGATGAAATTAAGCTATTATTTGAGAAAAATTGTATTGAAATTTAGATGTAATTTGCTAGAATACCGCTTAATTCAGTTATTCAGATCAGGTATCTAATTCTTAGCTGATTCAGATATGACCTATGAAAATAAAATCCGTCAGATGATTGGATCCTAGTCAGAACTTTTTAATCGGATTCAGATTGACTACAATCAAATCCAAATCCGACCCGCTGACAGGCCTACTCCCAAGCTTCCATGGTATATCCTGTTTATGATCCACTCCTCCACCCATCTACCCCAATTAATCTGTACAGAAAGCATTGTTTTGGCAACATGAAGTGAAAATTATTAACTTCAGGAGGATCAAAGTTTGCTTGGAAATCACTGTTAGAACAGCCGTTCACTCAAACACACTTGAGCCTGAAATAATTAGAATGACCAAACGAATGCCACGTGCATTGCTTTCAAATGTTTCTGAAAGTACAATGGCCTTCACCAAAGATATCTTTTCATCCCTCTCTCTCCTCCTTTTTTCTGGTAGAGAGAAATGAAAGGCCAAGTAGAGGTATATCGCCAACAAAACAAATAAAAAGTTAACATTCTCTTCCAAACGAACACACATACAGCTCCTATTTTGCTATTAAGTCATCTAGACCTCTATCAAACAGCTTAGCTTATTTCTAATATTATAACTATGCAACCATCCGACTTTTGCAGGTTTTGACCCAGCTATAGAGATATACGTTTCGGTGTAAAATATCTAGAGAAGTCATGCCCTAAATGAAGAAAACAATGCTGAGAAGAAACAGTAGATGCAGCTCGAAATGCAATAAAAATTGAGTCATGAAGAGTAAATGGGACACTAGCATATATTNTGGGAGGATTCCATTCAAAACTACAGAAAGGAACCGGTCCTTATAGAGTAGGGCTGTGTCTAGATCTGTGAACCAAGTTTAAACTGCACTAGAATGCCCATAAGAAGCCAATATCCTCCATGGAAGCTCTTTAACTTTGAGGAATTAAAGCTGAGCTAGAGTCCCAGTCTGATGTAAGATCAAAGCTTAATTTTATAGTTTAGCAGCTAACTAGCCTACTAACTAGTATCACGATGAATATGGAAATACTAGACATAAATTATGTGGACTATAGTATTTTTTGTCAAAGAATACAATACTCCCAACTTGGCCTGTCAATGGATCAAATTTTGATCCAAATCCAACCCAAATTTGAATCCTATTAAGTGGACAAGGATTGTTATTTTTTACTGATAGTCCAACTCAAAATCCAAATCTGTTACACCATATTTAATGGATTCGGATTTGTATATGCCAATATCCAATCCGAATATAAATGCATAAATGTATGATGAAATTAAGCTATTATTTGAGAAAAATTGTATTGAAATTTAGATGTAATTTGCTAGAATACCGCTTAATTCAGTTATTCAGATCAGGTATCTAATTCTTAGCTGATTCAGATATGACCTATGAAAATAAAATCCGTCGGATGATTGGATCCTAGTCAGAACTTTTTAATCGGATTCAGATTGACTACAATCAAATCCAAATCCGACCCGCTGACAGGCCTACTCCCAACAAGCNTAGCTGATTCAGATATGACCTATGAAAATAAAATCCGTCAGATGATTGGATCCTAGTCAGAACTTTTTAATCGGATTCAGATTGACTACAATCAAATCCAAATCCGACCCGCTGACAGGCCTACTCCCAAGCTTCCATGGTATATCCTGTTTATGATCCACTCCTCCACCCATCTACCCCAATTAATCTGTACAGAAAGCATTGTTTTGGCAACATGAAGTGAAAATTATTAACTTCAGGAGGATCAAAGTTTGCTTGGAAATCACTGTTAGAACAGCCGTTCACTCAAACACACTTGAGCCTGAAATAATTAGAATGACCAAACGAATGCCACGTGCATTGCTTTCAAATGTTTCTGAAAGTACAATGGCCTTCACCAAAGATATCTTTTCATCCCTCTCTCTCCTTTTTTCTGGTAGAGAGAAATGAAAGGCCAAGTAGAGGTATATCGCCAACAAAACAAATAAAAAGTTAACATTCTCTTCCAAACGAACACACATACAGCTCCTATTTTGCTATTAAGTCATCTAGACCTCTATCAAACAGCTTAGCTTATTTCTAATATTATAACTATGCAACCATCCTACTTTTGCAGGTTTTGACCCAAGCTATAGAGATATACGTTTCGGTGTAAAATATCTAGAGAAGTCATGCCCTAAATGAAGAAAACAATGCTAAGAAGAAACAGTAGATGCAGCTCGAAATGCAATAAAAATTGAGTCATGAAGAGTAAATGGGACAGTAGCATATATATATGGAGAGTAAATGACGCTGGAGTACAATCAATGCAGAACCAAACCTTTTCTCTTTCCCCTCCTCCTGTATTCATGATCCATGTCATCACTTTCTGACCTTTCCCTGAGAACAGAGGATAAGTGAGTTCTATGTAGCAGGAAGTATTGGATATGCACTGTCATTAGTATAAATATGTTCCCAAGAGGAAAACAGAACACCCTTCAGATATACCTTTTCCTTCGGAGCTCTTCTTCCTCTCTTAGTTTGAATATTTCCTTCTCTTTCTGTTTTTTATAAAGCAGCTTCTCTGCACATCTATTTCAACATGAGGAAAAGAAGTGTGAGGAGGTATCCAAATAACGAGTTCAAAATTACTGGAACATTAAAAACAGCATTTTATTGATGCCGAGAAGGATATTTTCAACTAAGCTGAGGCATAATGAAGTCAGAAAGCCGACACTGTTGATTACAATAACCACCAAACTGCATCATTCTAACAAAAAGTAAGGAGAACTTACTTTGTTGGAATTATGGCAACTAGATGCTTTTTTATAACCTTATCAAGTTTTCTAAAGAAATAAACTCTCACGGGCTCCTTCTTTAAGTGCCTTTGATAATGTCAAAATGGATTAAACTGGAAAAAAAAATTAACTTATAATGGCCTTGAATTTCAAGTCGGGGAGGCTCAAATCTCCCCGGGAAAAAGGTCTTTAACATTTAATCTGAACTTATATTTTATATCTTAAGCAATCTGGAAGTCGAGATGTTTCTCTACAATATCTACCAGGGAAAACAAAAAAGAAATTTACCCTACAGTTCTCAATTATGCAAATTCTGCCCTTAGGTTCTAAGCAGAAAATTCTGTGTCAAATTTTTAATATTAACAAACAATATTAAAATATCAGAAAACAAAAGAAAGCCCCCAAGAAGCTCACGAAGTCATAAATCAATGAAACAGTTACATAGTCAAAGGCAACTTAATAATCAATGGATAGCAGAGAGCTTATAAGTAAACATTGGCTGCCCCTTCCCTCGGCCTCATTGCTTCCACACTCTTAAACTGCAGTCTATTTTCCTTCAAAAACCTTATCATGTAGCCAAATCAAAATCGAACGTGCATTTAAGACAAGCCCAAATTGTTTCCAAAAAAAAAGTTGCATTTTTACATTAGATACTGGGAAGACACTCAAAAGCATAGTTGTGATATTCATTGGTAGGGATGAATGGAGGAACAATCGTAATGTCCATCTAAATTGCAAGATGGACGGGAAGAAAAAGGCAAGTAAGATCAAGGAATTGAGTTTATCTAGTAGCATGTCAGCATGGCCACGTCAAAGGTTTATACCACGTCTTCTAGGCTGTTAAGCATGCCATGACCAAGAAGAGCACAAGCCGAACAGACCCCAGGAGTGGCATAGTTCCATACATAATAAGAAGTGCACAATTGAAAATGAGAGCCCAAAATTTCTACAAATATACACGGTATATGAAAGTCGCATGCTCCAAGAACTACAAACCACCTGAATCAGTGCAAACTAATGAAACCATAGAGAAATCATATATAGGAAGAGACACAGCATTGGAAGCTGTTAAGCAATTACACCTTTCACAAGCGACCACTTTCACCAGGGCCTGTTTGTTTTCTCCTGCTTCAAAATAAGAAAAGTTCACCTGCAATACAACAGCCAATGAGATGGAATACAAAATCTCAACTTAAATACAATACGAGTAAACATCATGAAATTAAAAGAAAACCCATGTAAAAAAGCTACTTTGCTTTCATGACACAATATGAAGTCTCTCCAACTATTAGCACAACCCAACTCAACAAAAACGTTGTCCCAACATTGTTGGGATCGATCAGCTACATGAATCTTGTTTTGCCATTGTGCTCTATCAACTCAACTATCAGCACAACAACGAAACATTTTCATCAAATGAGAAAACAAGATGTTTCATCAGCATCCTTAAAATCTGGATAAACTCTTTGCAGCATGGTTCAAAGCACAAGGTCATTCATAAAAACAAAAAAGGGACCTAAATAGTCTAGTCCTACTGTATCTTTCATTCACAACATCCAACATTCCAACATCTTCCTACAGAAAAAAAATAAGGGATTTTGAGAAATTTCAAGTGCCACATAACATTGCTCCATACAATCAAGTTAACATCAAATGGAGAGTGGCATATTTGACAAACATGTTAAAATTCAATGACCGACGTTGAAGCAATACATAACTAACGGCTGGAGTAATAAGAATCTAACTATGAAGATAGATTCTTCATCCACTGATGCCAAAAATGCTTCAGCTTTCTATTCTTTTGAGATTTTTCGCCTATAAGATTGCGCAGAAGGTATTTTAGCACCGCTATGCTCGCATCACTTATAATTGAAGTCGTCTAATGCGATCTCATGCATGGCCATCATTAAGTTGGTTGGGCTGCCTATAGTTACAGAATTGTTCACAGAAGCACCCCTGACTCTCTCTCTATATATAAATGCAGTAGTAATAAGAATCTAACCATGAAGTTAGAATAAGTTGGATGGAGACTCTAGGTTTTTCCTCGTAGGACAACACAAGGAGGGTAACCCTCCATATCCCTTCCCCCCAAACCAAAAAAAAAAAAAAAAAACCCCAAAAAACACTCCTCTTACATAAAAAATTCTATATGATTGCTCCTTAGAATTTAAAAAATTCACCTTTTGAACCCAGAGAGGATAATTCAACAGCTTAAACTAAACGAATTATATGATGCCCCCTCTATGAAATGTTAGGATACATTGGACTTTTTAGCTCGTCTTTCTTTTAACAAACTAGTTGAATTATGTGTTTAATTCACGTGATCCTTTTCCATGAATTCATCCTCCCAAATACAACCACTTTCATGAGTTGCTTATTTGGAGCTTCAGTACCTTAGATAAAAATAAAAAATCCTAGCTCTGCCCCCGACACACTCAACTCGATCTTTAAAGATTCTTATATTTCTTTCCTTCTAAATAACTCACAAATTAGCAATAATGACACAATTCCAAAGTGTTTTTTCCCTTATCAATCCTCCCAAGAATTATGATTTCTCCAACAAACAAAGATGTAGTTGAAACGAGAACCACCCAATAATAACTTGTACTACAACGACAATACAATAGGGCAGTGTAAAAATAAATGAACAATGCTTTCATAATACCTTTTACAGATGATATGACACACCATCCAACGGGCCTTTGATCCAATGATACTCTTTACCTTGTGAAGGCTTTGCCTTCTTAAGGTTAAGGGTTCAAGCCCCTTTTCCCTTTCCCCCTCCCCCTACCCCTAAAAAAAAAAATGACACACCATTGCGGACAAAGACAAGAGTGAGGCCTCCTCTTTTTGAAGCATATCTATAGTATTAACCTTATCAAGTGCAACAGCCCATGCAAAAACTTGCACTTTAATCAACACTTTAACCTTTCAAATCATCATGGAAGGTATAAAAAAGGGCAAAGAATCATCTATAAGAGAATCATATAAGGACTTGCAAGAAAAAACTCCCAACGACTCAAGAACCCATCTTCTTCTATCACACGACTCTTGACACAACAAAAGATTATTAAGAATATTCAAGAGAGATAAAACATCACTCATATCCCAATCATCAAGATTCTTATAACAATCAAAATCCCAAGAATATGGTTGATTATAAGAAACAATCATAAGAGCAATGGTCACACCATGATATGACGATAAATGATAAAGACGTGAAAACAAACAGGACAAAGTTGACTCCCCCACCCAAACATCCTCCCCAAAACGAACTCTCATCTTTTTACCTACTACCCACCTAAGTTTTTGGAAAAACCACGTTACTCTTTGAGATATGAATTTCCATGGACTTCAAAACTTCTCCTTTCAACCTATTAGCATTGTTATCAAAATCGTATGATTCGAGAATTGAATCGTATGATTTGATTCTATTTCATTCGATTCGCATCTTACTATAAGATCATTTTCAGCATAAACTTGTTGGAATCGATTCGTGTTGTCATACCCCATTTTTTCTTCTTCTTCAAAATATGCTCTATTTTTTGTTTTTCATCAAAAATTTCTTTTTTAATCAAATGTGGGAAGTGATTTTCTAAGTTTAGATGCTCAAGTATGAGTTTTTCCTATTTTTAGCTTAAGTTGCAAATTATTGGCTTACATATCTCTATAGGCCTTAGATCATGAGTTTGAAGGTTCTATATGCTCTATTCGTTTTTCTTAAACTATATGCTATGTTTTTTTTTTCATAAATTAATTTTTGCATACTTATTTTTAAATTTGATCAGGTGGTGAATTTGAGAATGGTTACTAAGAAAATGAAAACGAAGCAAAAAAAGAATGCCGAT